AGAAGGAATGAGAAAGAATCAGCATTCAATGACCATCACATTGACAGCACAGAAATGTGATTGCCTTTAATTCTGCTGAATGGATTAATAAAGTACTACCCTGTTATAATTGCCTCATTAGGGAATTTGAAATGTTTCTATGCTTCCCTCTGCTACCACTGCCATCTGAAATGTAGTCCTAGTACAAAAGCAGTTGTGCCCCTTATACCTGGCTACTCAGATTGTGGTCCGTGGACCAGCAGGAACTGCATTGCCCAGAGCTTCTTTGAATGCAGAGTCCCAGGCCACATTTAGATTTGCTGAATCAGAATCCATGTTGTGACAAGATCACGGGGGATTCCCCTGCGTATTCATGACTGAGTTGTACTGGTCTAGAATATCTGTGGCTTCCAGTCCTTCAGCTATTATCTCCTCACGTTAATTTCCCCTACTCCTCTCCTCAAACATCCTTACTTCTCGTGAAGGCAAATAAAGGAGATCAATAATTAAGGCTTTTTTATGCCATCTGTGTGGAGTGAATAATTTTCATCCATCAGTCTTAATTGTTCCAAACATCATGTATGAATCCTACATTTAGTTTTTCAATGCAAATATCTATAACATTCACAATGATTTGCATTGCTAAATGACCAGATTATATTATTTTGCATGTTCATTTTGTGACACTCTGTTCTTTGTCATTGGAAAGCCAGCCAGCCAATATGCCTTCTTTCTTTCATCTTTAAATATAATTTTTTTAAAGATTTTTATTTATTTATTTGACAGAGAGACACAACGAGAGCAGGAGCACAAGCAGCGGGAGGGGGAGAGGGAGAAGAAGGCTTCCCGCCGAGCAAGGAGCCTGATGTGGGGCTCGATCCCAGGACTCTGGGATCATGACCTGAGCCGAAGGCAGACGCGTAACAACTGAGCCACTCAGGTGCCCTTTAAATATAATTTAATATAATTTTAAGAAGTATTATAAGCACCACATCTTAGGCTGATATTATATTTTGGCATTATTTATTTTTAAAGTAAGAATTCAGAGATTGGTACACATACATATTCATTCACACACTTCAAAAAGAGCTGTCTGGGTGCCTAGGTGGCCCGGTCAGTTGAGTGTTGCAAGTCTTGGTTTTGGTTCAGGTGGTGATTTCAGGCTTATGAGATTGAACCCCGGGTCAGGCTGGGCCATCACGGCGGAGTCTGCTTAAGATTAAGGTGGGCAGGGGCGCCTGGGTGGCTCAGTCATTAAGCTTCTGCCTTCCACTCAGGTCATGATCCCAGGTTCCTAGAATCGAGCCCCACATAGGCTCCCTGCTCGGCAGGAAGCCTGCTTCTCCCTCTCCCACTCCCCCTGCTGTGTTCACTCTCTAGCTTCTGTCTCTCTCTCTCTGTCAAATAAATAAATAAAAACCTTAAAAAAAAAAAAAAAGACTAAGGAGGGCACATGTGGTGATGTGCCCTGGGTGTTATACATAAATAATGAATCATTGAACACTGCATCAAAAACTAATGATGTACTATAAAGAGGCTAACTAGAATTATAGAATTATAATAGAATTATAAAAAAAGACTATCTCTTCCTCTCCCTCTGCCCCTCCCCACCCCCTCTCACTCAAATAAATCAATAAATCTTAAAAACAAAAAGAAAAAGTGCCCACAAAATGGTTAGATATTCAATGTCAGAGAAAATGATGAAGTAGGGAACTCCAACTCACAAAAGCATTGAAAATACCGGGGATAACTGTCAGTATCAACATTATCAGGAATCTAAAAAATAGTTGATGGTTTCAAACAAGGAAGTGAAACTTTGGTTCCTCATTAAATTTCCTTACTACACGTATGAATCCACAAGCACAGGGGTTATTTTATAGAGGGAACAACCTTCTTAGCTTTGGCCCCCACTCTGAAGGATGCCCAAAGAAACAATCTTGGAGTCCCCGAGATGGGGTTTCTCCACACTCAGAGGAAATGAGATACACATTGATTTGAGGCCCACTGAAATCCTGGTGCCTTCGTTCAGAGTTATGCTGATGCCCCCTGAATGCACCCAACCTCACCTAAGACAATCCCAAGAGCATCCCCATGTCTCTCATGTTGATCCAGTGAGGGAGGACCCCAGAATGGAAATTGTTTCAAGATTGAAAGACAAGGAAAAATGGTATCCATCTAGGATCTGATAATATTTTCAGGTTACAAACTGCAGGGCGCCGAGATCTGTCTTGTCAAATTCATATAAGATCAGTATGTAAAAATTGCGACAACTCCAGGAAGTATTCATTCAAATATCAAAGTAGGATCAGATGATGACTTATTACTTGGAACCACCAAAATTAATGTTCAAACTGCTGACCAGGATGGCACTATTAGTCGTTACAACTCAGAAATCTGAATACTCTTGTAGCTCAGATGGGATAGGTATCTTTAACTTTGGTCAAGGTTTGTTGCTCATTTTTTACCAACACACTTTAATAACTGAGACATGATAATAGTGTCTTGACTCATCCCTCTCACGGTGTGGCCATTACCCATTGTGTGATGCCTCTAGTTTACATTATATGTACATTACATGTGGCTTAAAATGTATTTTGGATTCCTTGAAGGGAGTTGGCTACACACATTATAGTCATAGAATGTGACTTTCATGAGAATCAGGGAGATCACTGTCTTTTTGCCTTAGTGTCAGGAAGGGTCATGCTTCTAACAAGCAATTGTTTATTTTCATGGATATGGCAATTTTTGTAATTGATCATTGTGCCAGAGATTGCCTATATAACATATCCATTCTCCTCTTCCCTGTTACTGGAACCTGATTATGTTTGGAAGTGCTCATACGCCCAGCTAAGATACTATAGCAGCAATGTCCACAAGAGCCAAACTGTGGAAAGAGCCAAGATGTCCATCGACAGATGAATGGATAAAGAAGAGGTGGTATATATACACAATGGAATATGATGCAGCCATCAAAAGGAATGAGATCTTGCCATTTGCAACGACGTGGATGGAACTGGAGGGTGTTATGCTGAGTGAAATAAGTCAGTCAGAGAAAGACATGTATCACATGACCTCAGTGATATGAGGAATTCTTAATCTCAGGAAACAAACTGAGGGTTGCTGGAGTGATGGGGGGTGGGAGGGATGGGGTGGCGGGGTGATAGACATTGGGGAGGGTATGTGCTATGGTGAGCACTGTGAATTGTGCAAGACTGTTGAATCACAGACCTGTACCTCAGAAACAAATAATATAATGTATGTTAAAAAAAAAAAAAAAAAGATAGCAGGAGGGGAAAAATGAAGGAGGGGGAATCAGAGGGGGAGATGAACCATGAGAGATGATGGACCCTGCAAAACAAACTGAGGGTTCTAGAGGGGAGGGGGGTGGGAGGATGGGTTAGCTTGGTGATGGGTATTAAAGGAGGCACGTTCTGCATGGAGCACTGGGTGTTATACGCAAACAATGAATCATGGAACACTACATTGAAAACTAATGATGTAATGTATGGTGACTAACATAACAATAAAAAATTTTTAAAAAAAGAAGAAGTTGCTGTGGCTGAGGTCAAAGAGGTTACTGACTACATTCTCCTCTAGGGTTTTGATGGATTCCTGTCTCACATTGTGGTCTTTCATCCATTTTGAGTTTATCTTTGGTAGGTATAAGAGAAGGGTCCAGTTTCATTCTTTTGTTTATAACTGTCCAGTGTTCCCAGCACCATTTATTGAAGAGACTGTATTTTCCATTGGTTATTTTTTTCTGCTTTGTCAAAGATTAGTTGACCAGATATGGACTGGGCTCTCTATTCTGTTCCACTGATCTATGTGTCTGATTTTGTGCCAGTACCACGCTGTCTTGGTGATCACAGCTTTCTAATATAGCTTGAAATCAGGCTACATGATGTCCCCGGTTTTGTTTTTCTTTTTCAACATTTCCTTAGTGATTAGGGGTCTTTTCTGGTTCCACATAAATGTTAGGATTGTTTGTTCCAGCTCTTTGAAAAATACCATTGTTATTTTGATCGGGATGGTGTTGAAAGTATAGATTGCTGTGGACAGCATAGACATTTTAACAATGTTTATTCTTCCAATTCATGAGTATGGAATGTTTTTCCATCTTTTTTGGTCTTCTTCAATTTCTTTCATAAGTGTGTAGGAGATATATGTATGTATATATGTATATATAATGGAATATTACTCAATCATAAAACAAAAAGAAATCTTGCCATTTGCAATGACATGCATGAAGCTAGAGAGTATTATGCTAAGACAAATGAGTCAGTTAGAGAAAGACAATTGCCATATGATTTCAGTCATTTGTGGAATTTAAGAAACAAAACAAATAACCATAGGGGAAAAAAGAGAGAAAAAGAGACAAACCAAGAAATAGACTCTTAACTACAGAGAATACCCTTCTGGTTACCAGAGGGGAGGTGGTGGGGGGATGGATCAAAAGTGGGATGGTAATTAAGGGGGACCCTTCTAATGAGCACCGGGTGTTGTACGGAAGTGTTGAATCAAAATATTGTTCACTTGAATTATGCAAGACTGTTGAATCACAGATCTGTACTTCTGACACAAATAATGCAATATATGTTAAGAAAAAAAAAA